TCCTCCTACTCCTGCTCCTCAAGTACACACCCCCCCCCCCCCCTTCCCCTCTGGTCCTGCCCGTCAGGTGTGTCCCACGCTACCCCTCTCCCCTCGGTAGCACGTCAGGCATTGCCCCCTTCCCCAAAGTCATCCTCACAGTCACCGCGGCACTACTGCGATAGGTTGCTGTGAACTCTGGGGGTGTTGGTGTTGGAGGCACGGGCGCTGGAGCAGCTAGTCCTAGGGGTGCTGATCCTGAGGGTGCTGACACTTGAGGAGTTGGTTTAGATCGTGTTGGAGTTGGAGGTCCTTGCAATGGAGGTGCTAGTTCTGGGGGTGCTGGAGCTGGAGGTGCCAGCACTGGAGGTGCTAGTTCTGGGGGTGCTGGAGCTGGAGGTGCTGGCACTGGAGGTGCTAGTTGTGGGGGTGCTGGGCTTAGAGACTAGGGCTGGAGGTACTACTAGTGCGGTGCCTACCCCACCTCCCCACCGCTATGGCACGCGTCTTCAGACTCTAAGTTAGTTGGACAGTGCGGAGCAGGAGAGGTTGGAGAAGGAGAGCCAGGAGGTGGAGCAGCAACTGTCGCAGCCGTCAGCTCTGCAGCAGTTGTTCCTACCTGTGAGAAGCCTCTTGGCCTCCCTTCTTCCTCCCCGAACCGCTCACCACCTCCTCTTGCACACAATCTTCCTCCTCCGAAGACTAGGTTTAGGAACGTAGGCATAGTGGCGAGAGGAGCAAGAGGAGCGAGATTTCGGCCAAAGGAAAAGGGGTTTGCACTATACAGCAAGTAGTACAAATAGGAAATAAGGCAATTGAAGGTATATTAGTAGCAGATTATTGGTATAACTACAGTAACTCTTGCTATAGGCAAAAACTAATAATTTATACAAATATATTGTTCGACATTTTTCTCTCCTCCTCGGTCACAGTCATCTCCTCCTATTGTCCCGCGGTTCTTGACCCCTTGTCGTCCCTCCCATGCTCGTCCCATGTCCTGTTGATGACCTTCATACTGTCTTGTTCCGCCAGAGCTTGTTCTCCCATCACCTCCTGAGTCGTCTCTTACATCCTTCTCTTACCCTGGATTACTACCGTGCTGCTCGTCTTGTTGTCTCACGTATTCACGCCTCTCTTGTCATGGTCCCTATTGCTTCTCTGTCGTCTGTCTCAGCTCTTCCTTCCAATGGCGGTGACTTTGCTGCCACTCGCTGCCTTGACTGCACCACCCGTGTGGTGGCTGCTCCCCCTACCCTTCCTCGGTCCACATGAGGTGAGTCTGCCCTGGGCTGTGATGTCTTAGAGGATAGTCAATTTGAGGTGGAGTTCTTAGCAGCCACTTCTTTCCATCTCTGTGCCATGCTGCTAGCCCCTGAAGGAGACCCCGACGCCCTTTACATACCGACTCCTCACACGTACTTTGAGACAGTGTTAGGGGAGTGGGCCTCTTAGTGGATTGTGGCTATGGACTCAGAGATGGCGTCTTGGAGATCCACAGGCACTTACTTCGATGCAGATTTCCTACATGGGGCGAACGTAGTCGATGGCATGTGGATCTTCAAGGTGAAGCGGCCGCCGAGATCACTGCCTATCTTCAACACATACTACGTGCTCCAATCAGTATGAGGGAGTTGACTTCTTCCAGAACTTTGCCCCGACCCCAAAAATGACTACCCTCAAGGTATTACTTCACATTGCAGCACAGTCAGGCTACGGGCTGCACTCACTCGACTTCTCCACGACCTTTCTCTAGGGCCGCCTACACGAGGAGATCTGGCTGCACCGTTCTACAAGCTTCACCCGCCTGGGACCCAGTAGAGTTTGAGGCGACTAGTCTATGGACTTCGCCAGGTGCCTTGTGAGTGGCACAACACGCTACGCTCCACTCTTGCTGACCTCGGGTTCCGTCCTTTGTCCGCCAATTTGTCGCTGTTTGTTCGCATCGGTTCCACTCTGTTCTTCGTTCTTGTCTACATCATCGATTTGGTCTTTGCTACACCAAATAGGGTCGCTCTGGCTAAGGTAAAATCCGAGCTGCAAAAGAGACACACCTGCACTGAACTGGGTGAGGTCCGAGCTGCAGAAGAGATACATGTGCACTGACTTGGGTGAGCTGCGCCGCTATGTCGGAATTCCGAACTATACCACTGTTTTCTGACAGACCTCACTAGCTAGCTCGGCTGGGTGCCTGGCTTGAATTGGCATTTCAGGTCGCGAGTGTGGAAGAAGTGTCCCTTGCTAATAGAAAGGGAATAAACAAGCGAGCTGCCTGTCTTGCACAAGTGCGAGCGAGGCCTTGGCTGGTCCTCTATCGCTGCTTAAGGGAAGCTTGGTGAACTTCGTTTCAAGGCATGTAGGGCAGCTCCCTACCCCCTTCACCTCCAACCCCTTTAGGCTCCCATCCTTCACCATTTTCTCCAGCATTAGAATGTTGACATGAAAAAGCCTCTCATGCCATGTCTCCCAACTAGCCTTTACCCATGCAGCTGTCCCAGCCACACGGGCAAGCACCTCAATATGTGGCTGCTGTGGCTGCTGCACCTTCTTGACTGCATCCAGGGCCCCAACAGTTGGTGCAGTCTCCTCTCCTCCCGCAGTTGCTTTAGCCGTTGCTGCTGCCGCTGCCGTTGCTGGGGGTTTCCCATTCCAAGGGATGAGAGGCAGCTGCCATAGGTCCTTGATGCAGCTGCTCTCCTCCTCCAGGTTCCATAGCAGCAACTTCCTAAGCTTGCACGTCATCTGGTTGGGCCAACGGTTACTTCAGCCCTGCTCTTGTGCAGCCTTTGCACAGAAAGAAGGTTAGCGGACAAACCTTCAACCAGCAGCACATTCCCAAGCCCCACAAGCTCCCCATTGGCTCCCATCACCTTGGCATTTCCAACACCAATCACAGGGAGCAAAGCACCTGAAGAGACAGCCACAAACTTGATCTTACAAAGGGGCTTTATCTCATCAAGCAAATCTGCCTGTGGGGTCATGTGACTTGTGCAACTTGAATCTATCACCCAGTGAGTGAAGAGGTGCGTCACAACCTTCCCAACTGAACCCACATCACCCCCACTCCCTTGCACATCTTCAAACCATAAGAAACACCCCAGTGGAGGCGTTACCATGTGCACCTTCACCTTGTGCACTTGAACCTTGCACTGCGCCACCTTGTGCACGTTCACCACTAAGCAGCTTCATGCCTGGAGGTGCCCATCCTTCAGGCCGGCTAAAACACTTGGACCATAGGTGTCCAGCCTTCTTGCTTCTACACCTTCGGCCCGGAGTGCTGAAACCTATTGTTGATCTGTAGGTTTAGACGACCAAATCCTTGATGTGCTGAAACCTATTGTTGTTGACCGTTGCATGTGCATAAAAGAGCGTGTGAAAGAGCATGTGAGAGAGCGTGTGAGAGAGCGTGTGAGGGTGCGTACGAGAGAACGCGTGAGAGAGCGCGTGAGAGAGCGCATGAGAGAGCGCGAGAGAGAGTGTGTGAGAGAGAGAATCTGCGTGAGAGTGCATGATAGAGAGCGCAAGAGGGAGCGCGAGAGAGTGCGTGAGAGAGCGCGCGAGAGAGCGTGAGTGTGCGCGTGAGTATGCGCCATAGTGTGCGCGTGAGTGTGCGCGTGTTTCCCCCATTGCCCCCCCCCTTTCCCATTCCCCCTCTCTCCCCCATTCCCCCCGCTGCCCTCTTCCCTTAACTTTGCTGCTCCTCGTGTTTCTCTGCTGTTTTCTCCTGGAACTCCTGGCGCCTTGCTGTTTTCTCCTGGGCCCTTGTTGTTTACACTTGGCCCCTTGCTGCTTTCTCCTAGCGCCTTACGGGTGGTCTTCCTCACGTCCTTGCTGAGAAAGCATATGATATCCAGGCTTCAATGGCTGCGAAACCTGCAAAACCAAGCCAAAAGGGCATGACAGAGGGCAGAGGTCAGAAGACGGAGCAGGCAGCGTGAGGGGATGAGGGTGGAAGTCCTCCTCTGCACATACTAGCTGAGTAAGCATATGATAGCCAGGCTCCAATGGCTGCAAAACTTGTAGGATTGAGAGATGAAAGGGGAGTAAGTAGGGAGGGGCCGCGTGTGTAGCCATGGGGGTTGAGAGGTGGGATTCCTCCTCACATCCTCACATCCTCACATCCTCACATTCGTGCAAAGCAAGCACGGGCATGGAGCAAGCACGGGCACGGAGCAAGCACGGGCACAGAGCAAACGCATTGAGAGAGATCACCGGAGATCACAGGAAGAACGACCAGACATCGCCGGAGACGGCAAGAAGAGAGGCGGCCAGAGGTGGCATGGCATGGCGAGAGCAAGGGAGGGGTGCGTGCGCACTCTTCATGGAAGGGGATGACGATGAAGTCCTTGGAGAAAATATCCGTGCCCCTCGTCCACCATTGTGGTTTGGTTGCTTGGTGGCTTCACTTGTCGTGCCAAGCAAGCAAGGACAACGAGCAAACACACAGACAAAAACCGCAGCAAGCATGACCAGTCACGGCGAGCAACAGGCAGAGCAGCAAGGGAGGGGTGGGGTGCGTGCACACTCTTCGTGGAAGGGAATGACGATGAAGTCCTTGGAGAAAATATCCGCGCCCCTCGTCCACCTCGTCAGACGCATCAGCTCATGCGGGTCCAGGGTCAGCTTCTGATGTTGGGGGCGGAGAGAGGAGAAGGAAGGAGGGGGAGAGAGGGGGAGCGAGGTAGGGGAGGGGGGAGAGGAAGGTTGGAGAGAATAAATTAGTGCATCTGCTCTTCGGGTCCTGGGTCAGCTTCTGGCAGTGGGGAGGCATAAGCAGGGCATGAAAACAGGCATGGTAGCAGGGCATTAACGGTTGCGGAAGAGAGAGGTGGAAAAGAAAGTGCTGAAGACTGTGGCTCCACTAGAGCATAGCATTGCACTAGAACACACAGCACCACACAGAAGAGCAGAGCAGAGCACTGTATAGCACAGCAGGAGGGGCACTCACGAATCGGCCTGCGAGCGGGAGAGCGAGGTGGAGAAGGAGGTGCTAAAGAAGTGGAACCGCGAGCGCTGCGGCTCCGTTAGAGCATTGCACCGCTCAACACAGCACCAGACTGCACATCACTCCACTTACAAATCGCTCCTGGACGCGAGAGAGTGAGGTCGAGAAGAAGGTGCTGAAGAAGTGGAACCGCGACCGCTGCGGCTCCTGCAGCATCGTCTGTTCAATGAACATGGACAGAGGCGCATGGGGGGGAGAGGAACAGGCGAGGGAACTGTCCTATGAGTTTAGCAGTTTCCTGCAGCATCGTCTGTTCGATGAGCCTGGACAGGGGTGCATGGGGTGGTGCAATAACTGTACATCAACATGATTGTAACCAGACATTTTCGAAAAGCCTGGCGACAACACAACACCAAGCAAGAACATTCCTACTCGACATGAAATCAAGGACACACCTACTTGACATAAAAGTCAATGACCGTGTCGTTCAAACACTCCACAGGAAGCAACCGCTGCAAGTTTGCTGCCTTCACCTCCACTGTGCCTAGCTGCTGCCTGCACGCATGCACAGATGGACAGGCAGTTGAAGTGAGAGGGCAAGGAAAGGGGGGGGGGGGGGGGGGGGGGGGGGGGGGGGGGGGGGGGGGAAGGGGGACGAAACGGTATGAGCTCACTTCATTTTACTTCACTGCACGTCACTTCATTTCTCCGCCCCCAGCCGCTGCAAGTCTACTGCCTTCACCTCTACTGCGCCCAGCTGCTACCTGCACGCATTCACAGATCAGCATGCAGATGAAGAGAGAGAGCAAGGAAGGGAGACAGGAGAGCGGGAGGGGCATGATGGTGTGTAAGAGAAGGTTTGCCTTCACTTCAATCCGCTCTCCCCAGCTGTTGTACACATGCATGCACGGACAGAACCATCTTGCACCGTACCATACCGCACTACCTCACACCGTGCACGTCATACAAAGATAGTACCACTTTGCACCGTGCACCACGTTGTGTCACACCTGAAATCAACATACCTGGTGGGATATGTAAATGATCGCCCTTCAACCCTGCCAAGATGCAGAATAGGGGGTCGAGGGGGGGGGGGGGGGGTTTCGAGAGAGAAAGAAAAAGGGAGGGAAAGGCAAGGAAGGGAAGCACGTTGTGGAGTGGAGGTGGTTTTTGAGGCGCCTCAAAAACGACCTCAAGGAAGGGAAGCACGTGGTGGAGTGGAGGTGGGAAAACAGTGCGAACGATGAATCAAAACCACCATGGTGAACGCAACACTATGATGGACGCACCAGTACAACGATTCACAACACCAACCGTTACGCGGGAAGGAGGAGGCAAACAGGCGTGGGGGAGAAACGAGGCAAGGTGAGAGGGAGGGCAAGGCAAGGCAAGAAATAGTAAGCCTTTTGAAAGAAATAATAATGCAGTTTAACAACTTGTACAGCAACAACTTACCGGTCCAACCACTGTTGGCAGCGGTCCCTGGTGAAGATAAACGGGCGGGGGGGGGGGAGCACGGGTGTGGGGTGGCAGCAGCAGCACCCTGGCCCTCAGGAGATGATAACACCACGATTGAGCCCTTGTGAGACACCGCCGTCTCAAGGGTTGATGATGGCACCGCAATAACGCCCTTGTGAGACATCGTTCCAAGGGGAGATGATGACACCACAGTTGCGCCCTGCTGCCGGCTAATCGACGAGTCCATGAGGGCATTCTCGTTACTAGCAGACTCAATAAGAGCGCGGTGCCGCTGGGTGCCAATTCCTGCCTCAGCCAGTGCAGTGGGTGGCACTGTTGTCACAACCTCGATAACCCCTCCTTGCACATCTGCCCCCTCATCTCCCATCTTCTCATCCTCCCCCCCCTTCTCATCACCCCCCACCTCACCACCCTTCCTAATCCACCCCCCGTGTTCATCTCCCACCTTAGCATCGCCCCCCTTTCCATCTCCCTCTGCTGGTGCAGCAGCATCAGCAGCCGCTCTGCCATTGCCCTCACTGCCCAAAGCACCACCACCCCTCTTCTCACCACCCTTAAATCCACCCTCCTCCTTTCCATCCCCCTCCTTTCCACCTCCCTCCACTCTTCCTCCCCTCTCCATCCCATTCTCCTCCTCCCGAACCGTTTCCCGCTTATCCTCCGTACAAGCATCTTCACCAAGTCTGCGGCCACCTTCCTCCAGAACACCATCTTTCACCTCCACCTCATCTCCATCCTCCATACAAGCAACTTCACTAGGGCTACAAACATCTTCTCTCGCATCACCATCCTCCCCTTCACCACCCCCCACTTCCACCCCCACTTACCCCACCTCCCTCTTCTTCCCCTCCTCCCCCTCTTCTCCCTCATCTCCCGCCTCTCCCGCTTATCCCTCCTTCCCTTTCTCCCCCACCCCTCCCTCCTCTCCCACCTCGTCTGCTCCTATTGCACGGAAACTTCCGCCCCCCTCCTCGCCGCCTGCACTGCTCAGCCCAGCTTCACTGCCACGCCTCCTTGAATCACTCTTCTCTGAACCCCAAGCCATCCCTACATCTCTCTTTTCATAACCCTCAGCCGTCCCTACAGCTCTTTCTCAAAACATCCAGGCGTTTCTATAGCACTGTTGTGAGGAGGGTGAGGAGGGTGAGGAGGGTGAGGAGGAAGAGGAGCCTCTAATCCCAGCATGAATCTGCACTGAGAGGGGGGCTCTATTCCCCTCGCATGTCTCTACTTCTTGCTTGACGGAGCCCATTCAATGACCCCTGACGCTGCTGCCACGTCATCCCAGGTTCTGTCTGTTGGCTGGACATGACCCTAGGGTGCCACGTCAGCATCTCCTTCGCCTCTACTTCCCTGGACCCCTGTAGCTTCCAAATCGTCAGTTCCATTCTGGTCACCTCAGTCGTCCTGGTCAACCAAGTCAATCCGGTCAACCCGGTCGCTCTGATCACCTATGTTCCCCTCCTAGTCAACACGGTTCCCCTCATCCTCACTCCGGTTGCCTCTATCGCCCTGGTCTTCACGGTCAACGTTACTGTCCTTTTCTCTTCTCCCTGCCAACACCCTTCTCCCGCCTCTCCTCGGCTCTTTGCCTCTTCCCCTCCTGTCTCCACGCCTGCTCTTGGGCAACCGTTTTTCTTCCTTTCCATCCTCTTCCCCCGTTCCTCCCGCTTCCTTTCCAGTGTTACCCATTTTCGTCTGGTTACCATTTTTCTCACGATTTTCGCGGAGAACCTCTTTCTCCTCCCTTCCCTCTCTTTTGCGTCGTCACAGGCCAAGTCGATGACCGCCCGTGCTGTCTGACGTGTCGACACGCGAGTAAGGGACGCTAGCACATTAATGCTCTTTCGGCGACGGCTGGCTGCTGACGTGGCGAGAGCTGGAGCGTGAAACGTCAGCAGTACGCTATTTAGGCCATGTCAGCAAGCTGAGCAGCCGTGTGCTTTGAACTAACACCGTTGGCAGCAGACAGAAAAAGAAAGGCTGAGGCTTAGACCGTTGCATATACAATAAAAAAGACTAGAACGACTGTGGCGCATACAAAAGCCTCTTGTCTGCTCCTTTGTTTGGCCGGCTTGATTCACCAGCAGGAGACGATAGCAAAACAGGAATTGTTGCGACTGACGATTGTGTACCCCTTGTTTTGCTAAGGAACTGTGGTCATGTTGATTTACAGTGCAACGGTGTCAAGTACCCGCGTTTAGCCCCTTGCCCACAAGAACCGAACAACTTTCTCCTGCCTCCTACTACGGGCTTCCTCAACAAATTACGGCGACAACACGAACGACGCTAGGCGTCTAGCATAGTTACAAATTTCTAAATTGGGCTGTCAAGGTCAGGCTGCAATGTGTCCGTGATTTTCGCGACCGTAAAGCTACAACCCAAGCTCAAGAACCAGAATAATTTGCTGCTTGTTCCAAATGCGAGGCAAGATGGCTGCTAGCGAACGAAATTGTGGCGCGAGGGAGGTTGTCAGTACTGTGACACATCAGTGTTCAGGAACTGCAGTACTGCGCGAAATGTTGTGAGAAAATAATGCCATCACAGTTACCTACCGCAACCATGTCTCTGAAAAAAAATCAAATTAACTTTGCATTAACGGAAAACCAAAATGCTGTAAATTCCTGTTATTTTCAAGCTTAAATTAAAGAGCTAAATCATTTTTTTTTCAAATTTTCTGCGCATTCACAAGAGTTACAATGTACTACTTGAATCACATGAGGCTTCAAGGAATGCGGTTTAGCTCTTTTCCGAGTCTGCTATTAGCGAGGAGACGCTTGATAACCCCAAGCGCTTCGTTGAAGCTGTGCTTTCTGCCCGCAACAACTGAACCTGACCACTAAACCGCCCAGGTGGAGACACGTCATGCACCTGCATCTTCCGCCCCCTCGCGCACCTTCTCCATGCACATCCGCCTCGCCCTCCCCCTGGCCCCAGAGTGAAGCTCCCCCGTTTCCGCGACTCCCGGGTTCCGAAGGAGCTGCCCCAGCTTCTTGTCCAATCATCCCAGCGAACGGCCCGCTGAATCCGTGAGTCACTTTCTCTTTACAACCCCGTCTTATCCTCCGCTTCTCCCCCACCCCCCCTCTGCTCTTACTACTCGCCATTCCCCTCCCCTAACATCTCCCCCCAACTGGACCTCCCTCCCACCCCCGACCCCCAAGGTCTCCCCATTGTTGCTCCCCTTCATGGACTCTCTCCCCTTCCCCTCCCCCTCCCCCTTCTACGCCCACCATCTCCGGCGAAATTGCGCGCATTGACTGCTTTCGTTTTTCCATTAAATCCATCATCTCAAATTGCTCCCGGTATGCCACGTGGCATCCCGGATTAATTCGCTGGACCCCGTATAGTGAGCCGTGGTTTAGGTGTGTTTTGTTTTTTTTTTTTTCTCTCATTGCGTGACTACTTTGGGCAATGTGTTCGAAAACTGATTTATTCACAAACAGTCGCAATTACTTTCTGTCTGACGCAGCTTTGTGGTTTGAGCACGTGCGAGGGTTCTCATTGGATCACATATGTTTCAGTGCGCGAAAGTGACATGCAATCGACTGGTTGGTTTGGTGAATCTAACGACGGATCGACGTGTTTGAAATAATGGGCGCGAGTTTTGATAAAGTTCATGAACTTTCATGTCTCGTCATGGGGCCTTATCAACATTGGACGAACGTAGAGCACACAAACCAAGATGGCGGAAAACTTGGTTGCGAAATGGTTAATTTCCGAATTTCTCGCCCATGTCATACAATCGTAGCCCAAAATTTGCGCTTACAGTATTAAAGCGTTTACGTGGCACGCAAGTCATTGAAAGTCATATATTCTACGTCTGTTGGCTGCCCTGGTATGAGCCCGAGAATGTTGTAGGCATAAAAAAAACTCGGCACACTGTACGAGGTCCAACGAATTAATCCGGAATGCCATGTGGCATACCGGGAGCAATTTGAGTCAATGGATTCAATGGAAAACCGAAAATAGTCGATGCGCGTGAATTCGCCACCATCTCCTCTTTCCAGAGAATAACACCCGACCCGACTTGATTCTTCCATTCGCCACAAACACGGCCAGATTCATCCTACCCAGAAGCACCTATCTCGGAGAATGTAGATGCAGAAGAGGCCGCGACTCGGTGGAAATAGATCAAGCATCCCAACGGATCCGGCCTTAAACGCTTTGGCCCGCCGCCAGCCAGAGCCTTCGATTCAATCACCGCACATCGCTCATCTGATCCACCTGCCCAACCGCCACCTGCCTACTGCTGGGCGTCTTTCTTGTGATACATATTCAAACCTTTGAAATACCTTTTCCGACCAGGAATCATAGGGTCAGTCTCTCGGGTCTCGACCTTTTCTCCTGCTTTTGCTTTCGCTCAGCAGCACCTCTCATTCCTACGCTGCTACTGGTGGAGCTTCCCTGTCCGCGAGGACCATTGCCAGTAACTTCACTGACTGCGGTATACTTTTGAGAATTCTCAAAAGTGACTCCCAGATTGCAGTACCTTGTCCGGCGGTCCACACGCATCGATCTACCAACTCGCTTACTACGCGGCGTGTGTCGGACGCTGTATCTGTCCGTCTATTATCGACACAGCATCAAGCGTACCTTTTAAGACTTTTCATCAGCAGACGAGATGGTGCGAGGTCTCTCTGCCTCCTCCACGAAAGAAGCAGGGTACACCCCCCCTCTTCTCCTTGTCCTCTTTCATCCTCCTCTTCCCAACATGTTCTCATCCTCTACTCTTCCCCCCCCCCCCCCCCCTCCCCCCCTCTCCCCCTTCACACCCCCTTACACCCACGTCCCCTCCTATATTCGAAAATTGCTCACCTACTGGTCAGGTTTAATCCCACACTCGCTCCCATTCTTATCTGACTCACGTTGCTTTGCCAGCTTCTCCCCGCGTCCTTCTGTCGCCGCGCAGGGAGGCGACCACTACCACGACGAGCTTGCGCCAGGGCCAGCGGGGGAGCTGGAGTGCTCCGTCACTCTTGTGGCGAAGTTAGCTACTCTTAGCCACTCATAGCTTGCTGCTTGTCGAGTCCATTAATGCCTTTTACTCGCGATAGTTTATTGTCAGTTTTCAAAATTATCTCGCAAGCGTGCGCCTTTTCCGCAAGACGAGGTTCCGTATTTTCATCTTCAAATTGTTTTCTGATCATCATGGCTTCGATATTTACGCGTATGCGTCGCCCTGCTATTCCAATTCAACTCAATTCCCTTCTTGTCTCGCCTTTCACAGAATCGGCTTCGCGTTGCCCTTCCTTCTCCGGAAGCAGCATAGGTCGATTCTCTTCTTCTTCCGAGCCTTCGCGGCGGGTGTCGTGCTCGCAGTCGCGATCGTCCACATTTTCCCAGGTGCGTCTTCTACTGACTGCTTGGCCTCCATAATTATTGGTTGCAAGATTGGCGAACCTTACAACCAAAAACTAGGATTAAAGGAACGAAGCGAACTGTGTGATTTCCATTCGGAATACTAATTCGGAGGAAGAATTGGGCCAAAGCCCTTTTGACGTGACAAGTATACCTCAGCGTCTCGTCATTTGCTGAGAACCCTTTTTGCAGGAGCACAAGGTGCGCTCTCCAACCCGTGCCTGGGTTTTGCGGAAAAGTTTCCGTGGGCGTCAATTTTTGTCCTCTACGCGGCTCTTGTTTGCTTTGTCGTGGAGTGTTACCTGAAGAAGATTCTTCTTAGATCGCTGCAGTCTAATAGCGAGAAGAAACACGTGCCAGCAGAGGGCGTGTGCGTTGAAT